TCCAGTTCTATTACACTGAGAGATTTGAGGCAAACCAACCCTGAGCTCCCCCATAAATGCTTAAAACTCAGGAGGAAAGCTCTGCTTCTCTTCCATTCCAGCATGGATACAGGGAATTACTAAAGGTCCTTGATGTGTCTCTCTCCCATTGCTCCGCAGTGAACCCCGGATAGTGAGCCGGATATTTCAGTGTTGTGCCTGGAATGGAGGCGTGTTCTGGGTAAGTGGGAATTTTGTTCCTTCTGTGTTAAACCCCTCTGTGGAAACCAACCCTTGTGCACCTTTGGTGCTGAGCCATCAGCTGGGCTGCAGGGACCTGTGCCAGCTGCCATATTCCTTGTCCCACCGCTGTGTTTTAAGGGAACTGGGATATAGACCTGCTTGGGAAAGCCCACATAGAATCATAGAATAGTTAGGGTGGGAAAGGACCTTCAGATCATCAAGTTCCAACCCCCCTGTCATGGGCAGGGACACCTCGCTCTAAACCATCTCACCCAAGGCCTGGTCCAACCTGGCCTTGAACACTGCCAGGGGTGGAGCATTCACAACCTCCCTGGGCAACCCATTCCAGTGCCTCACCACCCTAACAGGAAAGAATTTCCTCCTTAGATCCAATCTAAACTGCTTTGAGAGGGCTCTGTGCGGGATATTGCTTCACTGAATTGAATATTGATTCCTCAGCTCTGACCTTACTGTGAGGCCGATCCTTATAAATCACCAGCTTCATTTTCCCATTCGGCAGAGAATGAGGAATTGGCCCAGGAATGTTAAAGGGAATGTGCTCCGTTGTAGATTTGGGGTGTGCCAGTCCTGGGCTGTTCCTGGATCCCCATGGGTAAAGGGTCCAGCAGCAGCAGCCCAAAACCTGACCCAGCATCACCGAACCTTCCTCTTCCCCCAGCTCAGCCTCTTCTTGTTCTACCGCGTGTTCATACCCGCCCTTCAGTCCGTCACGGCGCGCATCATCGGTGAGTTCCTTCCCACCAGCCCTTGAGCTGCCCTCTCCTTGCCTTGTTCTTGTCCTCCTCCCCGAGCTAATGAGGGCTGCTGTTAATTATCCAGGGGGAATCAGGGATGGAGAGTCCCACTCACGGACTGCCTGCTGGGCTCTGTGCAGGGTTCTACCACACAGCTGGCGCTGTGGGTTTGCAAAGGCATGAAAAGCAAGTGGGATTCCTCCTGCTGGGGGCTGCCCTGGGAGCAGAGATGCCAGGGGGAATTTCTGATGGGAAAAGAAGGTTCCTCCAATTGAGGAGTTCCCTAAATTGAGGTTCCTCCAATGAGGAGCTCCCTGAAACATGTAGCTTCCTGTAATGAGGAGCTTTCCAAAACAAGGAGGTTCCTTCAGTGAGGATGTTCCTCCAACAAGGAGTGCTCTGAAATGTTGAGCTTCCCAAAGTAAGGAGCTTCCCAAAACCAGGTTTTGTCCAGTGGGGAGCTCCCCAAAATGAGTAGGTTCCTTTAACATGGAGCTCCCAGAGACAAGGAGGTTCCTCTAATGAGGAGCTCCCTGAAACGTGGTTCTTGTACTGAGGAGCTCCCTGAGCCGAGGCGCTTCCCTGCCGGAATGCTGACATGTTTCCCTGTTTCTGGAAGGTGACCCTTCCTTGCACAGCGATGTCTGGGCCTGGCTGGAGTTCATCCTCACCTCCATCTTCAGCGCCCTCTGGGTCCTGCCCCTCTTCGTCCTCAGTAAGGTCGTCAACGCCATCTGGTTTCAGGTGGGTGCCCAGAAAACAGGCTCTGGGTGTATTCCTGGTGACATAATCCCAGTGGACTTTGGATCCCCTCTCTCCTCTCCATCAGGACATTGCAGATCTCGCCTTCGAAGTCTCCGGCAGGAAACCTCACCCCTTCCCCAGCGTCAGCAAAATCATCGCCGACATGCTCTTCAACCTCTTGCTGCAGGCGCTCTTCCTCATCCAGGTGAGGATTTAATCCCCCCAAACAACCACATCCCCCCAGAGCCACCTTCTCCAGAGCTCCCCTCATGCTCCCACTGGGATTTTATCCATAGGGAATGATCGTGAGCCTCTTCCCCATCGATCTGGTCGGCCAGCTGGTTGGGCTCCTCCACATGTCACTACTGTACTCGCTCTACTGCTTTGAGTACCGCTGGTTTAACAAAGGTGGGAGACACTTCCAGATGGGATGTGTCGGGGTGGAGGCTGCTCCATGCCAATGGTTGGGTTCTAATGGGTTTTCTCCCCCTTTCCCACCAGGAATAGAGATGCACCAGCGCTTGTCCAACATCGAGAGGAACTGGCCCTACTACTTTGGCTTCGGCTTGCCACTCGCCTTCCTCACAGCAATGCAGTCCTCCTACATCATCAGGTGAGGGGAGAGCTGCCATTCCACATCCACGTCCTCACCCCAATGCCCTTTTTAATGTCATTTTATCATATTTTGGGTTTTTTTTCCCTTCCAGCGGTTGCCTCTTCTCCATCCTTTTCCCCCTCTTCATCATCAGCGCCAACGAGGCGAGGACCCCCGGCAAAACCTAGTGAGTGAGACCCTCCGTGCCCCCAGACCTTCAGCCTCACCCCTTCCCAACCTCCATCCGGGAGGAAGCTCACGGCGTTCTCTTCCCTTTCCCAGCCACTTCCAGCTCCGGCTCTTCTCCTTGGTGGTTTTCCTCAGCAACAGACTCTTCCACAAGACCGTTTACCTGCAGTCGGCCCTGGGCGGTGCTTCCTCCTCCTCCTCCTCCTCCGACCGCCCCCTTCCCCCTCAGCCCTCTCCTACCAAACACACACCGGCCCCGGGGCACTGAGCCCCTGGTGGGGGTCCCCGTGTCCCCCGGTGACCGACAGCCCCCCCCCGGGGGCGGTTCTTCGCCCCGCCATGGGAATTTTAAGGGGGGGGATATACTTTTTAAGGAGCTCCCGTCCCCCTCCCGGTGCATGCGCCGGTTCCGGTGGGGTCGGGACGGAACCGGGCCGGGGTTGGTGGGTTTGGGGGTGTTTTTTTTGGGGCGGTTTATCAACTTTTCTCTAGTATTTTCACACGGAAACATTAAACGGACGAAACACGGCTTGAGCCCCCCATGCGCGGCCGGGGCCTCCCGGTAGCACCGCCCCACGTGTCACCACCCACGTGGCGGCACCGCAGCCTGCTTCCGCTTCCGGCCACGTGACGCGCTCCCAAGCTACGGGGGACACGTCGCGGCTCGTTCGCCGTAGCTCTCTCCCCGCCAATCAGGAGGCGCCGTACGCGGCACGCCCAGCCCCTCCGCTTGAGTGCGCTGCGGCTCGGCCAATGGGAGCGGCCGTGCTCGAGTGGCGGCCAATGGCGAGCGGGGCAGGGGGTGCGGCGGAGGGCAAGGGAGGCTGCGCAAGGCGGATGGACGGGGCGGCGGGGCTCGGGTGAGGGCCGTGGTCTGGGGGGAGAGAGGCTATGGGTAGGGGCCTATGGGGGGTTATGGGGTGTGTGTGGGGCAGGGGGCTATGGGGGTTATAGGGTGTGTGTGGGGCAGAGAGCTGTGGGGGTTATGGGGTGTGTGTGTGGCAGGGGGCTATGGGGGTTATAGGGGTGTGTGGGGCAGAAAGCTGTGGGGGTTATGGGGTGTGTGTGTGGCAGGGCGCTGTGGGGGTTATGGGGTGTGTGGGGCAGGGTCCTGTGGGGGGTTATGGAGTGTGTGGGGTAGGGAGCTGTGGGGGTTATAGGGTGTGTGTGGGGTAGGGGGCTGTGGGGGTTATAGGGTGTGTGTGGGGCAGGGGGCTGTGAGGGGTTATGGGGTGTGTATGGGAGGTTATGGGGTGTGTGTGAGGCAGGGGCCTATGGGGGGTTATGGGGTGTATGTGTGGCAGGGAGCTGTGGGGGGTTATGGGGTGTGTGTGGGGCAGGGGCCTGTGGGGGGTTATGGGGTGTGTGTGGGGCAGGGGGCTGTGGGGGGTTATTGGGTGTGTGTGGGGCAGGGGGCTGTGGGGGTTATGGGGTGTGTGTGGGGCAGGGGGCTGTGGGGGTTATGGGGTGTGTGTGTTTTGGGGTGGGTGATGCTGTGGGACGAGGGGCTGGTGGTTGTCAGGGGCTGGAGCCTGTGGGATGTGGAGCTGTGGGGTGTCCTGTGCTGTGGGGAGATAGGGGGTGGCTGTGGGGTGCTGCATGGGGGTTTGTGCGGGGTACAGTGCCTTGTGTGGCACAGACCAGCTCAGAGGGGCTGGCAGTGAGTGCGGGGCCATAATCCATAGCCTGGGGATGGCTCTTCCTCCTTCCTGTTCCAGGATCCCTGGGACTGCCTTCCCCCATAGCTGTGCTGTGGCAGAGGGTCCCCCACACCCCATGAGTGGTCTGCAGGAGCTGTGAAATCGGGGTACCAGTGGGGCCTCACTGGCAGAACCGCTCACGCCCTGCAGGCGCCCGCATGACATCTCTCTTGAGCTGCTGCTTGTTACCCCCAGGAAAGAAATCCATCAGGGGCTTGTTTCTGTGTCAGGCGTGGACGTGTGCAAGTTAAAATCAAACGTCCTTTTTCAGGCTCTTAAAGCCCAGTTTATGCCTTAAACCTCAGCCTGTCCCACTCTCAGCTGCAGCTCTGATACGTGACCTAAGGGTTTAGCCACCAGTTCTGGGACTGGGTTTTTCCGTGCTGACTGGGCCAAGAAGCATCCTGCAGCAATCCCTGGTTTCAGGAGTACAGAGATGTTATTCCTTGGTGACAGTTTCATCTCCTTGGTGTCCGAGACCAATTCCTTGTGTTCTGTGTGCATTCTCAGAAGCGATGGTTCAACTCCAGCCAGGGGAAGCTTGGTGGGTTTGTTAAGAGCTTACACTGGGGCTTTGTTTCCTATGCAGAGAAACAGACGCCTCCTGTGCCCCAGAGAAGCTCTGGTGTCTATAGGAGGGAAAGCCTCAGCTGAGAGGGCAGCTAATCAGGTGAGGATGGGAGGGAAGGGGATTTGGGGATGGGAAGCATGTTGCAAAAGCGGAGTATTGAAGGTGTGCTTCATGGAACCTTTGGCCATGCTGTGCTCTGATGCTCTTTCTGCTTGTTTGCAGGTGCTGGAGCATCCTCAGTCACCACTTTTGATGTGAAGATGACCAAGCTGGGGTTTCTCCGGCTCTCCTACGAGAAGCAGGACACTCTGCTCAAGCTCCTCATCCTGTCCATGGCAGCCGTGCTCTGTAAGTGCTGCCGCTGCCCTGGAAGGGGAATCGCGGGGGGGAGCTGCCTCTGCGCTCATCTGCCTCTAACCCTGGCTCTGTGTTTGCAGCTTTCTCCACGAGGCTCTTCTCTGTCTTAAGGTTTGAGAGTGTCATCCATGAGTTTGATCCGTAAGTGTCGTCTGCTCCTCTCCTGGGGGTTCTCCTCGTCCACAGCGCACAGGATTAGGGTGCCGTACACCCGGCTCAGGTTAACCCGCATTGAGGATGCGGGATTTGGAGGGAGGTTTTCACTGCAGACAGGTTTTCCTCTTCCAGACCAAAAATTAACTTATTGGGACTCTTCCTGCTGCCTGGATCTGAGTAACCACTTGCCACTGGAATCCTGGAATGCTTTGGCTTGGAAGGGACCTTAAAGCTTACCCAGTCCCAACCCCTGCCATGGGCAGGGGCCCCTTCCACTGGAGCAGCTTGCTCCAAGCCCCTGTGTCCAACCTGGCCTTGAGCACTGCCAGGGATGGGGCAGCCACAGCTTCTCTGGGCACCCTGTGCCAGCGCCTCAGCACCCTCACAGGGAAGAGCTTCTGCCTAAGAGCTCAGCTCAGTCTCCCCTCGGGCAGGTTCAAGCCATTCCCCTTGGCCTTCTTTGCTGGGGTTTGGTTTTTCTTGGGCTGCGCAGCACACAGCAGGGGAGAGGGCTCACTGCAAACACTGCTGGGCTTGCTGCTGGCTAAACCGGGCTCAAGGGAGGGTGCTACCTCTGCAAACCCAATTTAAACCCCTGAGGAGGAGGGTGAGCTTTTGCAGTTGAGGTTTGTAGGAGTCTTAGGGTGGAAAACACACCTTACAACGCTGTCCTGCCCCGAACATCAGAGAAGGGCATCCAGGTGGGCTTTAATAGGATTTAAGTGCCTGTCCCAAGCTGCTGGTTTAACCTCTGTCCCCGTTACAGGTACTTTAACTATCGCACAACCCGCTTCCTGGCAGAGGAGGGCTTCTATAAATTCCACAACTGGTTTGATGACCGAGCATGGTACCCCTTGGGCAGGATCATCGGTGGCACCATTTATCCAGGTAAGCTGCTGCTGAGCTCAGATGCACCTCACATGAGGGGAAAATGGGAAAGGGGGTGATGTGGAGGGAGCAGGGTCCCAGTGCTGGGTAGGAGAAGGGGGATTCCCTCTGCCAAGGCATTGCTGATGAGTTTTGGCTGCTCTGGTGTCATTTCCACCCCTCAGGCCTGATGATCACATCAGCAGCGATTTACCATGTGCTGCACTTCTTCCACATCACCATCGACATCCGGAATGTGTGCGTGTTCCTGGCTCCCCTCTTCTCCTCCTTCACCACCATAGTGACTTACCACCTCACCAAGGAGCTCAAGGTAAGGGGTGAGCGCGATGCACCTCGCAGGAGGAGCATGGGCTTGTGCAAAAGCAACTCATGGTTGTCTTGGAAGCTTGGAGGTGATCACCACCTCAGTGAAAACCCACAGCTTCTGTTCTGAAGCGTCGTTTTGGTGCTCAGTTTTATAGAATCATGGATAGAATGGTTTGGGTTGGAAAGGACCTAAAGACATCCAGTTCCAACTCCCTGCCATGGGCAGGGACGCCTCACACTAGACCGTGTCACCCAAGCCCCTGTGTCCAACCTGGCCTTGAGCACTGCCAGGGATGGGGCAGCCACAGCTTCTCTGGGCACCCTGTGCCAGCGCCTCAGCACCCTCACAGGGAAGAGCTTCTGCCTTGTGTCCAACCTGAACTGCCCTGTTTCAGTTTGCACCCATCACCCCGTGTCTTACCGCTACAAGCCCTGATGAAGAGTCCCTCTCCAGCACCCCTGTAGGATGTATTCCTTTGAGGTGTGTCCATGTGGAACAGGGCAGAATTCCCAAGAGGCTTTTCCCACCCTGTGGCTGGTTTCTCTTCCAGGACGCAGGCGCAGGGCTCCTGGCTGCTGCTATGATCTCCGTGGTGCCCGGGTACATCTCCCGATCCGTTGCCGGCTCCTATGATAACGAAGGTGGGTTTGTGGCCCTGGGAGCAGGGAGCGCTGCTGTTCCCAGCTGTTGGCTGCTGGGTGATGGTGGTAGGGATGCCACAGAACGACAGAGGGACGCTGTGCTCTGTTTATATCCGTTCCAGAAGCAGTTCTGGGGCTGGCAAAGGCAACAGTCTTGTTCCCAGTGATCAGGTTCCTCTCCTGTAGCTGGGCTCTGGGGCCTGTGTGAGGAGATGCTGTGTTCAGAAACCCATTTCCCACCTCTGCCTCTTTGCATGAGGCTCTGTTCCATTTCTGATGGAGCAGCAAAAGCATTTATATGTGCATTGTTAATGCATTGAGTGCTCTGCTGTGCCCCAGAGGTCATAGATTAACATTTCAGGGCTCATACGGGCTTGCTTTGATGTCTCTTTGTCCTTCCACCCAGGTATTGCCATCTTCTGCATGCTGTTAACTTACTACATGTGGATCAAAGCTGTCAAAACTGGCTCCATCTATTGGGCAGCCATGTGTGCTCTGGCCTATTTCTACATGGTGAGTGTTCTTTCTCCTGGCACAGAGGTACTTTGGACTACAAAGTCTGTTCTGGAGATGGTGACCAAACCCACCCAGTGTCCCATTCCTGTGTCCTTGTGTTCCGGTAGCTACAGCTTGGTGTGAAAATCCCAGACTGGTTGGTGTTGGAAGGGACCTTAAAGCTCATCCAGCTCCAACCCCTGCCATCGGCAGGGACCCCTTCCACTGGAGCAGCTTGCTCCAAGCCCCTGTGTCCAACCTGGCCTTGAGCACTGCCAGGGATGGGGCAGCCACAGCTTCTCTGGGCACCCTGTGCCAGCGCCTCAGCACCCTCACAGGGACGAGCTTCCTACCATCCCATCTCAGTCTCTGTCAGGTCAGGGCTCCTGTCAGTTTAGTCTCAGGACTGCTCTCAATCCGGTCTCCACCCAGCTTCTATTTGTGCTTGATCCCAGGAATATGGAACCTGCTGCATTTGAGCTCTGCTGTGAGACCAGTTCCATCCTGGAACTTGTGGGGTGTTGTTTGTTTTCTCTCTTGGCAGGTCTCCTCGTGGGGTGGCTACGTCTTCCTGATTAACCTCATCCCCTTGCATGTTCTTGTGCTGATGCTGACCGGGCGCTTCTCCCACAGGATCTACGTAGCCTATTGCACTGTCTACTGCTTGGGAACCATCCTCTCCATGCAGATCTCTTTTGTTGGCTTCCAGGTGGGGACCAGAATGATTTGCAAAGTCAAGGCTGGTTGTTTTGGTGCTTGTAGCAGAACAACAGCGAGTTGTTTCTCTTTCCTTTGCCCTTGAGGCTGTAAGTGGGTGCTGGCTTCTTGTTGGAGATCTTGCTAATGCTGATTTGTTGCAGAATCAGCTTTTGGACTCTTGTTCTCCTCTGTGCCTGATCCACGTCTCCCCTGCTTGCAGCCTGTCCTCTCCTCGGAGCACATGGCTGCCCTTGGAGTCTTTGGCTTGTGCCAGATCCACGCCTTCGTTGACTACCTTCGGAGCAAGCTGAACCCACAGCAGTTTGAAATCCTCTTCAGGAGTGTCATCTCCCTGGTTGGCTTCGTGCTCCTCACTATTGGGGCTGTGCTGATGCTGACAGGTAGCCTGAGATGGTGGGGGACCGTGAGTGCATTTCACTGCCTCCTTTCCCTGCTTTGCATCATAGAATCCCAGACTTGTCTGGGTTGGAAGGGACCTTAGAGCTCACCCATTTCCAACCCCCTGCCACTGGCAGTGTCACCTTCCACTGGAGCAGCTTGTTCCAAGCCCCTGTGTCCAACCTGGCCTTGAGCACTGCCAGGGATGGGGCAGCCACAGCTTCTCTGGGCACCCTGTGCCAGCGCCTCAGCACCCTCACAGGGAAGAGCTTCTGCCTAAGAGCTCAGCTCAGTCTCCCCTCGGGCAGGTTCAAGCCATTCCCCTTGGCCTGTCCCTACATCCCTTGTCCCAAGCCCCTCTCCAGGTTTCCTGCAGCCCCTTTAGGCACTGGAGCTGCTCTGAGGTCTCCCCTTCAGGAGCCTTCTCTTCTCCAGGCTGCCCCAGCCCAGCTCTCTCAGCCTGGCTCCAGAGCAGAGCTGCTCCAGCCCTCGCATCAGCTCCCTGCCCTTTGAAAATCACATCATTTGTCAATCCAGATTCCACATTGCTGCCTGCAGACCTGCCCTCTGAGGTGGAGGCTGGGGACTGCCCCAGTTTCTCCATCACCAGGAAAAGACTTGGGAAGCAGCTGTAAGATCTGGGCTGCTGCTGTCACGAGCTGCAGAGTAACCTGCCATGACTCGGTGTGCTGGAGCTGCTGAGCTGACACATGTTGATCTGTAGTAGCAAAGAGATGCTAAAAATGGCTGGGAGGGGGGGGTGAAGCCTTTTTAGGTTAAAATTGCTCTTTATTTCCTTTCTAAAAAGGCAGGTTTGAGTAATAGGGACGTTAAACAAACTCTGGGATTGCTCAGCCAGCCTTGCACGTGCTTCCCTTGTGAGGGATCATACCGACATTGCTGGAAGTGAAGTTGGTTGGGTTTTATCTCCTCTTGCCTAGGGAAAATCTCCCCGTGGACGGGGCGTTTCTACTCCCTCCTGGATCCTTCCTATGCAAAGAACAACATCCCCATCATCGCCTCGGTCTCGGAGCACCAGCCCACCACCTGGTCCTCCTATTACTTTGACCTGCAGCTCCTCGTGTTCATGTTCCCAGGTGAGCCCAGCGCAGATGCCACCAGGCCCTGATGTGCCCCTGCAGCTGTTTCTCACTGTAGGCAGCAGATCCCCAAGGTGGACCTGACCTGGTTCTCTCTCCTCTCCTCTCCACAGTTGGTCTCTATTACTGCTTCAGCAACCTCTCGGATGCCCGCATTTTCATCATCATGTATGGCGTGACCAGCATGTACTTCTCTGCTGTGATGGTGAGGGGCTGCTTCCTGCTGGGCGCAAGCGTGATGGTGAAATGGTCCTCACAAAGCTAATTTAATGTTCTCTTTCCTCAAGCTGATGATGGGTTCTTCCACCCTGAGCTGGCCAAAGTGTTTGTGAGGCTTTGCTCCCTTCCTTAAAACTGCTTTGTGTGCCTCCCCGTGCAGTGAGGGAATGTGACGTGGCAAAGCTCAAAGGGTTTGGTGTTAACTTGCTTCCAGGTGGCCACACTGGGTCTCTTCCTGGTCTCCCATAGCTGAGTTGCAACCCCAAACAGATTTTACAGGTATCCAAGCAGTCACTCCAGCAAATAGCTGCTGCTCAGTCTGTTTTCACTCTTGCTTTAGCACCCCAAGCTCTAAATATGGGTTGATTTTTGCTATGGAGGCATCTACAAATCCTTGGCTCCACCTAAGCCTGCCCAAGGGTGCTCAGTTGAGGTCAGTTCTGCACACTGGCCAGTTTTCTGAGAACATCCCTTGGGGGCTAAATAAGTCAGCTGGAGGTTTATGTCGAGGCTGAGGTTTCTGGTGTTTCACTCCCCTTCTCTCAGATTTCTGCCTGGATTCCTTCTCCAGCAGCCACTGATGGTTCTGCTGTCACCCACAGGTGCGTCTCATGCTGGTGCTGGCCCCGGTGATGTGCATCCTCTCTGGCATCGGGGTTTCTCAGGTGCTGTCCACCTACATGAAGAACCTGGATATCAGCCGGCCAGACAAGAAGAGCAAAAAGCAGCAAGACTCCACCTACCCCATCAAAAACGAAGTGAGTTAGGCTGGCTTGGGACAGGAGGAGACGCCTCATCCTGGCTGGGGACAAGTGGAGGTGGTGGCCTCTTCCATTCAGTGTTGATCCCGGTTTGTTCCCCCAGGTTGCCAGTGGCATGATCCTGGTCATGGCTTTCTTCCTGATCACCTACACCTTCCACTCCACCTGGGTGACGAGCGAGGCGTACTCGTCCCCCTCCATCGTGCTCTCTGCCCGTGGTGGGGATGGCAGCAGGATCATTTTTGATGACTTCAGAGAAGCTTATTACTGGCTGCGGCACAACACACCAGAGGTAAACGGGGAGGATTTGGGTGGTGGGGACCCAGTGTTGTCCCCTGAGGTGCCAACAGCACATCTGGTGTTGTGTGTAGGATGCAAAGGTGATGTCCTGGTGGGATTACGGGTACCAGATAACCGCCATGGCCAACAGGACCATCCTGGTGGACAACAACACCTGGAACAACACGCACATCTCCCGTGTTGGTCAGGTAGGTCCTTCCCTCACCCACTGCCTTGTCCTGCCTTTCTGGGGCACCTCGTGGTATCACTGACACTGCATCTGCTCCAGGCCATGGCATCAACGGAGGAGAGAGCCTACGAGATCATGCGGGAGCTGGATGTCAGCTATGTGCTGGTCATCTTTGGAGGCCTCACTGGGTACTCATCTGATGGTAAGATCTCGCTCTGAGCTGGGTCAGCCCCATCTAGGGGCTGTTTGTGGCTCAGACTTCTCCAGAGTAGCTCTGAGGAGTGAAGTTCCACCTGCAGCTGAGGCTGCAAAGTGGAAATGGTACCAAAACTCTCCTCTTTGGAAGCTGCATGTGCCTTTTTTGCACTCCAACACTCAACCTCTTGCTCTTGGCCTCCCAGCTCAGCCTCTTCGCTCTAGGCTTTCCATCTCAACTCCTTGTTGTGGTTCTCCCAGCTCAATTCAACCCCTCACTTGCAGCCCACAAACGACTCAGCCTCCTCATTCTTTCACCTCAGCTCCTTGTTCTTTCACCACCCAGCTCAACCCTCTCGCTCCCCCAACTCAGCTCCTTCTTCTTTCACTCTGACTCGACTGGGTCCCTTCCTCTTGACCCCCCAACTCAACCCCTTGTCTGTCACCCCCCAGCTCAACTCCTGCCCTTGCTCAACTCCTCCTTCTCTCACCTCGTTTTGCTCTCCCCGTGTCAGACATCAACAAGTTCCTGTGGATGGTGCGGATCGGGGGCAGCACGGACACAGGGCGCCACATCAAGGAGCACGACTACTACACCCCTACGGGGGAGTTCCGGGTGGACCGCGAGGGCTCCCCGGTGCTCCTCAACTGCCTCATGTACAAGATGTGCTACTACCGCTTCGGCCAGGTCTACACTGAGGCCAGTAAGTCCCCAGAACCGCCCCTGGAGGGGGTGACACCGCTGCAGGGAGACCCCACCGTGCCCCCACCATCTCTGGGCTGTGATGTGGCAGCACTGCCTGTACTTTGCCCTCTCCTAGAGCGACCGCCGGGCTACGACCGGGTGAGGAACGCTGAAATCGGCAACAAGGACTTTGAGCTGGATGTGCTGGAGGAGGCATACACCACAGAGCACTGGCTCGTCCGGATATACAAGGTGCAGCCCCAAAACAGCCCCAAACCCCTCAGCTTTGGGTAAAAGCATGAACTTTCACCCCACTGAGCCCTGTTGTTTACCTCCCAGGTGAAAGATCTGGATAACCGCGGCTTGTCGAGGACGTAGAGGTGCTGATGGCCTCCTCCCACCGCACTGACCCAGCCTTTGCCTGTGAAGCAGAAACGTTTTGGGGGGGGGGGGGGGGGTGGTTGGTTTTGGGGTTTTCTTTCGGGGGAATTGGTTGTTTTCCTTTTGTTTTATACAGTTTGTAAGCAGAGGCAGCAGTGGGGCCTCCCCGCCCCTCCCTGCCTGCCGGGGAGTGATTTTTATACACGAAGCAGTCGCCAAATCGGGAATAACGGCTTTAATGGGGAGTTATGAATAATAAAAGATAAAAAAGGGCGATGGCGGTGGTTTGGAGATGCTGGGGTTTTGCTGGGGTTTCCTCCCTCCCTATCCAGAGCAAGGGGAATGGATTTAGGGGGCGTTTTACGGCTTTTATGGGTACGGGTGAAAAGATGGGGGGGGGGCAGCGGGGCTGCCTCCGGCGGGCGGGCGGGCGCGGGGACCCAGGGCGGCAGGGGGCGGGGCTTGGGCGCTGCGCGCGCAGGGCGGGGCGGGACGGGGTTGGCGCTGGCGGGAAACGGGACCTGAGGAGGAAGGGCCGGGAATGGCGGTGCCGTTCGTGGAGGACTGGGACCTGGTGCAGACGCTGGGAGAAGGCGCCTATGGGGAGTGAGTGCGCGGCGTTCGGTCGGGGCTGTTGCCTGCGCTTGCGCGCCCAGTGTGTCCCCGCAAACACACAGGCTGTGTGGCCACTGCTTGTCCCTTTGTGCCTGCTGCGTGCCCACTGCTTGCTGATTGTGTGGTCACTGCCACTGCTGCAGTGCCGTTGCATGCGCTGTGTATGCCCAGTGCTTGCCCACTGCGTGCCCCTTGTGTGCCTGCTGCGTGGCCACTCCATGCCCCGTCTATGCCCACTGCTTGCAGTTGCATGCCCCTTGTGTGCCCACCGCTTGCCCATTGCATGCCCCTTATCCACCCATTGCATGCCTGCACCTGCATCCCCTGCCCGTCCCTGCCCGCAGCCCATCTCCGTGGCAGCCTCTCAGGCCCCTCTTGTCCCCAGGGTGCAGCTCGCTGTCAACCGCCGCACCGAGGAGGCCGTGGCTGTCAAGATCGTGGACATGAAGCGAGCGGCCGACTGCCCCGAGAACATCAAGAAGGAAATCTGCATCAACAAGATGCTCAACCACGAGAACATCGTCAAGTTCTACGGGCACCGGCGGGAAGGCGCCACTCAGTACCTGTTCCTGGAGTACTGCAGCGGCGGGGAGCTCTTTGACCGCATCGGTGCGCTGCCGACAGACACCTCGTAGCATCTAGAATGGTTTGGGTTGAAGGGACCTTAAAGCTCATCCAGTTCCAGCCCCATGCCACAGGCAGGGACCCCTTCCACTGGAGCAGCTTGCTCCAAGACCCTGTGTCCAACCTGGCCTTGAGCACTGCCAGGGATGGGGCAGCCACAGCTTCTCTGGGCACCCTGTGCCAGCGCCTCAGCACCCTCACAGGGAAGAGCTTCTGCCTAAGAGCTCAGCTCAGTCTCCCCTCGGGCAGGTTCAAGCCATTCCCCTTGGCCTGTCCCTACAGGACCTTGTCCCAAGCCCCTCTCCAGGTTTCCCCTTTAGGCACTGGAACTGCTCTAAGTCTCTCCTTAAGGAGCCTTCTCTTCTCCAGGCCCCATTTTCTTTGCCTGTCTTCTCATTAGAAACTAATCCCTAAATGGTTGAGAATCTGTTTCCATTCTTTCCCCCCTTACACAGAGCCAGATATCGGGATGCCAGAGCCGGAGGCGCACCGGTTCTTCCAGCAGCTGATTGCTGGTGTGGTGAGTGTGGTGGCAGTGCTGCTGACACCAGTGGTGGTCCCTGCACGGTGCTGACCCTTCTCTGCCATCTCCAGGTCTACCTGCACAGCATCGGCATCACCCACCGGGACCTGAAGCCGGAGAACCTGCTGCTGGACGAGCGAGGTGAGGCGGGAGGGCATCTTCTCTGCCCATTCATTTTGAGGTTTACTTTGAACTGATCTGTACATTGCAGTTTGGTCTCTGTGTGCCCACTGCTCGGCTGTCGCATGCCCCTTGTGTGCCCACTGCTTGGCTGTCCTGTGCCCACCATGTGGCCACTGCAGGGCCGTTGCATGCCCTGCGTTTGCCCACTGCTTACCCACAGCATGCCCCTTGTGTGCCTGCTGCATGGCTGCTGCTTGGCCATTGCTTGACCTGCACCTGCATCACCTGCCTGTTGTATGTGCACTGCTGGCCTGCTGCTTGTTCATTGCATGGCTCTGATGTGCCTTCTCCCCGGCTACTATGCACTGCACGTGCTCAAATGCTTGCGTGCTCTGTTCCCACTGCTTGCCCATTGTGTGGCCCTTCTGTGGCCACCACTTGCCCTCTGCTTATCCCTTGCATGCCCGCTTTGCCTGACTTCAGATTCCTTCTCTTTTCCGCTTTCAGATAACCTGAAGATCTCGGATTTCGGCCTGGCCACAGTCTTCAGGCACAACGGCCGGGAGCGCCTGCTCAATAAGATGTGTGGGACCCTGCCCTACGTGGCCCCCGAGCTGCTGCGGTGCCCTGAGTTCAGTGCGGAGCCTGTCGACGTCTGGGCCTGCGGCGTGGTGCTGACGGCCATGCTGGCTGGAGGTGGGGCTGCCCCATGCGTGTGGGGCACGCGTGACGTGCTCGAGGGACACAGGGGAGATGCATAGAGGGAGGTGTGTAGAGCTCTTGGGATGGGAATGGGGGTGACCTGTCAAGGGAGGGGATTCTCCCCCCTCTGCTGCGCTCTGTGAGACCCCCCCTGCAGCCCTGATCCAGCCCTGAGGCAGCAGCACAAGAGGGACCTGGAGCTGTTGGAGCGAGGCCAGAGGAGGCCATGGAGATGCTGCGAGGGCTGGAGCAGCTCTGCTCTGGAGCCAGGCTGAGAGAGCTGGGCTGGGGCAGCCTGGAGAAGAGAAGGCTCCTGAAGGGGAGACCTCAGAGCAGCTCCAGTGCCTAAAGGGGCTGCAGGAAACCTGGAGAGGGGCTTGGGACAAGGGATGTAGGGACAGGCCAAGGGGAATGGCTTGAACCTGCCCGAGGGGAGACTGAGCTGAGCTCTTAGGCAGAAGCTCTTCCCTGTGAGGGTGCTGAGGCGCTGGCACAGGGTGCCCAGAGAACAGGGGGGCAACACAATGGATGCAGTGCAGAGATGCCTGGTGCAGGAGATGAGCGTTGTATTGTAGGTGGTAGTGCTGGGTGCTTGTGCACGCTGCAGGGCTTTGCGTGTTCTAAAACCCCAAAGCAGTGGTGTTCATTCCCCCTCCCCTTGCAAACCCTCCCCACGTGCTGCCTCCTTGCCTGCCTTCTCCCCTTCTCATGGGGCAGTAACCGAGGTTTCCCCCCCGGCAGAGCTGCCCTGGGACCAGCCCAGCGACAGCTGCCAGGAGTACAGTGACTGGAAGGAGAGGAAAACCTACCTCCCGCCTTGGAAAAAGATTGATTCTGCCCCCTTAGGTGAGTCCGCAGCCCCCCAGCAGAGCCCCATGCCATGCTGGGGTCGCCATTCCCACCCCTCTCCATCTCCTCCAGCTCTGCTGCACAAGATCCTGACGGAGAGCCCTGCAGCGAGGATCACCATTCCCGATATCAAGAAGGACCGGTGGTACAGCAAACCCCTCAAGAAGGGTAAGGGGACACGTGGGAATGCACTCGTCACTCCTGTTGTAGGGAATTATTGGGGTATCTCGTCCCTTTGCAGGCATCAAGCGGGCTCGTATGTCCACAGGGGGGGTCTCTGATTCTCCTGGTGGCTTCTCCAAGCACGTCCGATCCGATACGGACTTCTCACCGGTGAAGAGCCCGCTTGGGTGAGCCCCTGATCCCTCCGTGTCCCTCTCCATGCCCTGGGGTATGTAAGTGCTGTGTCCCTGTTGCACCTTCCAGGGCTTTCCCTGTGTTTTCCCCATGAGGTTGGTGGTGGAAACCATGCAGAAGCCTGTGTTTACCCTGCCTGTGCAATGCAGGGTTGACCAGAATCATGGAATGGTTTGGGCTGGAAAGGACCTTAAAACTCATCCAGTTCCAGTCCGTGCCACAGGCAGGGACCCCTTCCACTGGAGCAGCTTGTTCCAAGCCCCTGTGTCCAACCTGGCCTTGAGCACTGCCAGGGATGGGGCAGCCACAGCTTCTCTGGGCACCCTGTGCCAGCGCCTCAGCACCCTCACAGGGAAGAGCTTTATATTGAGCCTGAATCTACTCTGTTTCAGCTTGATCCCATTCCCTCTTGTCCTATTGCTGCAGTCCCCGATGAAGAGCCCCTCTCCAATATCCTGCTGCAATATCCCTGCATTCCCCATCCTTGCAGCCTCTGCTTTGCGCTCACACCCCTGTAACACCCCGTCTCCCCTTGCATTGCAGTGAGGAGAAGGTGAGCTACTCCACCTCGCAGCCGGAGCCGGGCACTGGGGGGATGCTCTGGGATTGTGGAGCAGCTGCCATCGACAAGCTGGTGCAGGGCATCAGCTTCTCCCAGCCTGCCTGCCCGGAGCACATGCTGGTCAACAGCCAGCTCCTCGGCACCCCGGGCTCCTCACAGGTATGGGGCTCCACTCTGTTGGGGTGCAGCTCTGCAGTGTTTGGGGTGTAAGTCTGCACATATATAATACTAGGGAGCAGCTTTGCACTATTGGTCATCTCTGGGCGTGAGTTTGCAGCATGTTTTTGCAGTGTTTTTAGCAGCAGGATGCAGCTTTGCAGCATTTATGATACCAAGATGCAGCTTTGCAATATCAGAGATGCAGCTTTGCAACGTTTTATCATCTCCAGAAGAAACTTTGCAGTGTTTTGGGTGTGCCTTTAGGGTATTTTTAGCAGCAGGATGCAGCTTTGCAGTGTTTAGGTGTTGCTTTGCAACTGCAAGTGTTTGGGATGCAGCTTTTCATCCCATTTATAACCTTGGAGCCCAACTTTGCCGTATTTATTACATTTGGGATGCAACTTTGCATTATATTTGTGAGATTCAGCGGGAACTGTGCAATACTGATACCATTAGGGAGCAGTTTTGTGGTACTGGGACGCAGCTTCACAGTGTTTGTGATGTTCAGGATGCAGGTCTGCATCCTGGGCGATGCAGTTCGCAGCCTTTGCCATCAGGGGGTGCAGCTTTCCGGGGCTCACCCTGGGGGCTGCTGCAGGCTGGTGGGATTTCTGACCTTTCCCATGGCTTTGGGGCCGGCAGAGCCCGTGGCAGCGCCTGGTGAAGCGGATGACGCGCTTCTTCACCAAGCTGGACGCTGACGGCTCGTACCGTGCCCTGAGGGAGGTGTGTGAGAAGATGGGGTACGGCTGGAAGAA